CTCAACACTGCTCTAATGCAGGTCCCTGCGCCCCAGGGAAACAGACTTGGTTAGAAACCCCCAAGCACAGATCCCCAGTAATACACCTAGCTCCAGTGATTCAATCCCATTGACCCGCTCTGGGGATCTGGCCTTCCAGGCACATCCGTTTAACGGGTCTCATAGCAGAGTTTAGCTAAAGATTCTTTTCTCCATCTGCCGCCCTTACGCTAGAGGCTGTTATTAGCCCTGTAACTAAGTTGTACCCTGAGCAGGGTTTGGAAGCATTTCACTGCTAACCCCATATCAGAGGCTTAAGAGTTAAATCACTGATGTGAGATTTTTCTTATGGGCCCGAGCTGCAGTTTGAGTTGCTGCTGATGGTGTTTTTGGTGCTGATTTGCTTGTTTGATGTGGAGTTTAGGTTGGCCTGGAGTCTGGGAATCACCCCACGCCGCTCAGACTCACCTGGGATTTGCAGATTGTAATCGCGTTGTGTCAGGCTCTGATGACGATGGGTTAATATGATGCCACACCCCAGCCTATCGCGAATTATTTGCTCTATATTTCACAGTCAGTAATTCATGCACTTGCATCTCTTTGCTCTGTGTATTCACTGCTTCTGGTTTTCTCATCACTGCCGATCTTCGAGAAATACTTTTGTCTTTTAATAAACTCCCAGTCCGTTGGATCTGACACTTTGTGCATCTGATTTTCATGGCTCTTAGGAAAACAGGGAGTGAGGGGCATCAGCTGGACTCCAGTTGTGACTCCATCTCCCCCTCAGCCCTGCAGACTTGCACTGGATAGTTATACAATCCAGAGTTATAATGAACACTGACAAAGAACTGGGAAGTCTATTAAACCTCCTGCTTCGGTGTTTAAGCCAATCTGCAGCTCCTAGAGACCAGGGTAGATTGTTACAAACTGGCCCCTGTCGCCCACTGTGCAGCCAGGGGTCTGTGTGAATAGAGTCCCACGTGTTTCTCAGCCAGCTGGGACTGGGCAGAACTTAGTCACTGCTTCTGGCTCTGGGACTCTAGGGCACACTACCAGACTCAGACCTCTTGTCTTGAGCCACCCTAGACCATAGGTGCTGGAACTAGAGATGCTGGGGGGGCTGCCACACACCCTGGCTTGAAGTGATTTCCATTATATACAAGGTTTAGTTTGAGTCAATGGATCTCAGCGCACCCCCTATACAAATTGTTCCAGCACCTCTGCCCTAGACCCCGAAATCAGTGTCTCAGTCCTCCTGAGTCAAGGGCAGGATATCGGGAGAGGGCGAGGAAGAGAGAGTCTCAAGGATGGAGCGGGATGTCCCGAGAAGGGAAGGAGCCCGGCACAGACAGAGAGAACCTGGAGAACATGGAGGGGGCAGATCTGTGTGGCAGAGGAGAATGGGACAGAGGGAGCCAGAGCCGGGGATTTAGGGCTTGTGTCCATTAGGGGTCTATCCCGATTACGGCCGTGCTCTGCCGGAGGACCATGGGGCTGTACCAGGGGGACTTTATTAAGGAAATCTGGTAAAGGTGGGAACAAATATTGGTGACACAAAGAACTGAGGGGGAAGCTGCCCCGTCTCACACCCCCTAACCCCCAAACCCTTTGAACTGTTGGAAGTGCGATGAGGGAGATACCAGCATGAGCTATGGGGAGATAGAGGGAGTTGGTGTTTTCAGCGGGGGGGATATTGAGGAACCGCGGGGGCAGGATGACAGAAGCTCCTGACAGGGGATATTAAGGGACCGTGTGGGGGTGGCTGGGGCTCCTGTGGGAGGATATTGAGGGGTTGTGGGGGGGGGGGTGACAGGGGTCCCTGAGGGGGGATATTGAGGGACAATGAGGGGGGCTGGCAGGGGCTCCTGAGGGGGGAATATTGAAGGACCAGAGTGGGCTCCTGAGGGGTATTGTGACCATATGTTGGGGTTCTCCTGGACGTGACCCTCTTTTTGGTCCTTCGATCTCTGTCTGGGCGGCTTTTTGAAATATGAGGAAATGTCCAGGTCTGGGATTTTTCCTTGCTGTGACAGGCCAGGCCCCAGCTCCCCACCCTGGGCAAGGGGAGAGGCCCAAAGGAAGGTGCTGACTGACGGGAGGGTGCTGCCTCCTGGGCCTGCGTCCGCCACCATGACAGGAAGCGACACTGCCCCCCACCTCCAAAGTGAAGCTGCAGGTACCCTTTCCCGGTACGCCCCAGGTACCTCCTCCAGCACCCCCCAAAATCCCTCCCAGTACACACACGCACCCCTCCAGCACCCCCCAGGGACCCCTTCCAGTATACAGTCTCCCCGGGACGCTGGGTATGACAATTTAAGCACTTGGCAGGATGTAACGCTACAGGTAATATGGATGCCAAGCTGGAAGAATCCTGATCTAAGCCGGCCGCAGCCTGGAGCCGGAAATACCCCTCGACGGGCGAACGTGGGAGCCAGCATGGAAGCAGGTTCAACGAGCGCTTTTCAACGTGTCTTTCCAGTCCATAGCATGGGCGGTGCACCCCAGAGAATGGTGGGTGGACCGGGCACACCCCAACTGCAGCACATACACAGAAGGGTTGAAGCATCAATTTAATTGGTGGGTGAGGAGACACATGGAATTGTCACTGAAAAGGGGTTTGTGGGCAGCAGGAAACAGGGCTGGGTATATGAAATCCAGGGGACTGTTGAGTAACTGATAAGCCACAATGTAAAATTGCAGCAGCAAATCAATGAGCTACTGGCCCAGCAACTGTCTGCAATCGCAATGGGATGGAAAAGGGCAGCAAAAGTGAACCTGCGGCTAACTCAATGGACAGGAGACCTCGTGACATGGGTGGAGGGTGGCTTCTAAAGGCTAACTTGGGAGGGGGAGGTGTGCATGGGGATACAAAACGCTCAACTCTGGGGCTAGCTCCTGTGTAGTAGTTACTGTGGTGCCTTGGAACGGGACAGCTACTAAGGGGGTCCCCATGAGCCCTATGGGAATAATGAGAAAGGGAGGAGCTCGCTGGGACCCACAGGGAGAGATGGGGAGGATGGAATGGTGTAAAATGCACAATAATTCAGTTAAGTAATTGTCCAGAGAAAATATCTGAATGTGTCCCTCCTCAATGACCACGGAGGGGCAGAATTCTTGGCCTGTTACAAATGGGGGCCATTAGGGGTGATATATATGGGGTCTGGGATGTTTGCTGGGAATGTACACAACACTTGGGGACACAGTTGCACCAGCATCGCACAGTTTCACACATCTACACACTGCCATCGGGACTACGGTGCACGAATGGATCTGTGGAACCCATTGCTGCGCACAATCAAACCAGCACCTCTTACCCCACCCCATACCAAATAGTCGAACTGGTGCGGACAGCACTGAATTTCATTGTGGATATTCAATGGACACACAACATGGACCAGAGTACACAAAGATTGGAGGAGCAACTCACCTCAACAGCCAATAGTTGGACACACTTACAATACACACGTCAGGATGGCGTTGACAGAATTTTTGCCCTATCAAAGGAGGAGAAGCAGTGGTTTTGGTGGTGGTTGGGATGTTGGACTATACTACAGTGGTCAGGACTCTCGGTGTTGCTGTGGATTATCATGGCGGCTGGTGTATTGCTAAGTATACTTGTGTTACGTTGCATATGGAACAGTCAAGAGGAGCACAACCCTCTAAAGAACGGCCACTAATTATAACCTATAAGTAATGTAATACGCCCTTCCCTCTAGTGTACTAGACAACCCAGACCCAACCTTCTCAGGCCCACTATAATGGGAAGTCTGGAACACTAATTGGAATAGGTGTGGTATGCCCGTACGAGAGAAGGTGCAGGGGATTGTACCACACAAGGGGCAGTGGGACAGATGGAGCATCGACACCTTCCACCTCGATGCCTGGCCCTATCAGGAAATGTGTCGCCGTATGTCCTATGCTTTCCCAGGGATACCTCAGCAGCAGGATCCCAAAAGAAAAAGAAAGGGTGGAGTGTTAGAATATAGATATTCAGGCCTGCCTGTAAAGGCCTATACTTTAAGAATGTAGGTGTATTTTTATCACTTAGCTAGTGACAAGGGTATAAAACAAAGAATGAAAATCACAGTCTGCCTGTGTCTGGGCCTTCTCTCACCAGGATAGTCTGAGGCCTGGTTCTTAGGCTCAGGCCTTTGGCTAAGCAGCAGGGCAGACATAAGCTGGGACGTGTATGGTCACGTCCTCACCTCCCAAACCAGCCACACTGACCTAAGGGGCTATTGGGCTGTGTCACGGTGATTCCCCACTCTGGCACTTTGAGTGCAGAAGTGGGGCCCGCAAGGACTCTAAAAATGAATTCTGGCCACTCCAGGCTTCTATCCAGCTCCCCAGGTTACAGCTTCTCTCTGACCTTGGATGGGTAGATGCTGCCACCACCCAAGAGCAGAACCCCTTGGAGAGCCCAAGAAGGGGCACTTGGGAATTCCTTCCTGTGGGGACCCTCAAACCCTTTCACCCCCTCCCCTCTGGGGAAGAGCTGAGAAAGAAAAACAAAGGAAATGAGCTCTTGCCACCAGCTAATTAAACAATACGTGCACAACCCTCTTAGGCTACGGCTTCACTACCCGCCTGGATCAACGGGTAGAAACCGATCTCTCGGGGATCAAATTATCGCGTCTCGTCGGGACGCGACAATCGATCCCCGAATCTAGGCTTGTACTCCACCAGTGCAGGTAGGAGTAAGCGCCGTCGACGGGGGAGCCGCGGAGGTCGATTTGCCGCCGTCCTCACCGCGGGGTAAGTTGGCTCAGATACGTCGAATTCAGCTACGCGAATTTGCCTATCTTAAATCGACCCCCGCCCCATAGTGAAGACGTAGACTTAGACACAAAAATCCAATTCTGTTCTTTAAAAAGGTAAATTTTATTAATTACAAAAAAATACATCTGGGAACTCAGGCTATTGCTAGGTTTAAAAAAAAAAAACTA